TCCCTACACACACTTCCCCCTCCGCCGCCCCTAGAGGCCAGAGGTGCTGCCTGCCCCTTTGAGTGGGTGGGGAAGAAGGGCAGCGCCACTCCTGCAAGAGGATCTCCTCTCTCTCCTTTGCTTTTAGGCCCGAGAACACTGCTTGAAGATGTTGGTAGAAGCTCTGAGCAGCAACCAGGAGGCAGCCCCGACTGGACATGGGTATAAAACGAGGCACAGGAAGGGGTGTAGAGCAGAGGCCCAGAACAGCAGGGCCTCCCTGCTCTGAGTTCAATGGGCACCCCTGTCAGTGACTCACCTCAGGGGGCTCTGTAAAAGTGCTCTTCCCTCCATCCATGTTCCCGCTCCTGGCTGAGCCCCACAGCTGAGTTCAGCCCCACATGGCAGCGCCAGCAGGCCCATATCTCTCTGCGTGCACCGAGCCGGGGATTGGGCTAGCCCCACCAGCTCTGCGTATGGGATTCCAGGAATTGCTGTGCCCCATTGCCCCACCGGGGAGGGGTGGGGGTGGGGGTGGCTAGTGTACTACAGTGCAAACCAGAGGAGACTCTCCAGAGGCGCAAGAGGAGGGATGTGCTTGGACTTAAATCCACTGCGCCCCTGAAAGGCACTAAAACGGCCCCTTGGCCACCACCTGCAGGCTTGACACATCCCAGCCCTGCGTCCACCCTGGCCTGACCAACCCACACCCCACAGGAGGGAGACAGTTCACCAGCGTTAGCGCCCCCCTCGCAAGGGGAGAGCCGAGTCCTCCCTGAACTGACCGACGTGACGTGTGTGTTGCAGGTCAGACCCCCACACCTGCGCCGTGGAGATGGAGCATGAGGCTTTCAGAACAAGTAAAATGTCCAACTTGTACAAAGCAACGGTGCTAAAGAAGGTAGGGAGTGGGGGAGGCACCCTGGCGCTGCTCCCTCCTGTCCCCGTTGAACATGGCAAGTGTTAGACCAGGGGTGGCTAATCATTTTCACAGGGGGGGCTGCTTAATGAATTTTGGTACGTGGTCACGGGCTGGCTCCAGAAGGGGAGGGGGTTGGGGGCTAGCCTCCACCAGAGTTGTCTGGGGCCAGAGGCTTTGAATTCAAAACACAGCAAAGACTTGTAGCCCCCGGCCTCGCTGCTACCATGTTGCCTGGTAGCTGCCCGGAGTTGCTGCGGCTATTTAAAAGGCTCAAGGCTCCAGCCTCTTCTGGAGCAGCAGCACCGTGACTGGGAGTCAGGAGCCATTTAAATAGGATCCTGCTGCCTGAGCCACCACCAGGAAATTTGGTGGCACAGGCTGCAGGATATAACTAGATAGTGGCCAGATGCAGCCCCCAGCCCGGATCAAAGTGTTAGGCAGGCTGGATCCGCCCCCAGGCCACATCTTGCCCAGCCCTATGTTAGACTCAAGGGCATGTCGTCCGTCCCCCCTCCCCCCCGTGTGTTCCAGCTCTTGCTCTGCTGGCTCGTGTCTCAGGCTGTTTCTTCCTGCTAATGCTTCCAGGAGCCTTTTTTCTCACTGGACTTTCCCTCCCTGTTGGCTACGACCCAGATGTTGGTCAGAAATCTACTGGGGGCTCTTCCCATCTCAGTGCATATGCATAAAGTGCTACAAACGCATCTCCAGCCATTGGACAGGGACTTGTCATTAAAAATAATGACGGGCGGGGGGGGGGCGCTTTCTCGACCACTAGAGTGACCAGATAGCAAGTGTGAAAAATCAGGATGTGGCATGAGAGATAACTATAAAAGAAACCCCCCGAAAGTCAGGTCTGCCCCTGTAAAATCGGGACATCTGATACCCCATCGTCCTTATCATCTTGTGACTGCACCATCGTTTCATAGTGGAAAATCCTGACGTGGGCGAGGCAGTGGACTTGAGCCAGCCTGGGATGATTCGTGGCCCTGAGGCAGGAGTAGCCCTCAGGGGAGACCTGCCCTTTGCCAAAGAGGGTTGTGATCATGCTGAGGAGGACATGTAAAGACGCCGCCACTGGGGATGGTTTTTCTTCTCTTGCAACCCAAGGTGGCGGAGATCAACAAAGCCTCGAAAGAAGGGGAGTTGTATCCAGCGTTTGGGTCAGGAGCTGGTGAGAGCAGCAGCCCCAGGACAAAGCCTGACCCCTCAGCTGACGATGGCTTTCTCCCTGCATCCCAAGTCTACTCGGTGAGTACAGGTGGCTGCTGCACAGAATGATCATGGGGCCTGGCGTGCTCGGGTGGGCCTGGATTATGGCTGTGTAAAACCCCGCCTGCCCAGCTGGCTGCATGAAAACGCTGACTGGCCTGTTCTAGAAAAGGGCCCATGCGGGGCCATAAAACATGGGCTGCAAGGCTGGGCAAAGAGAAGGCAAGCAATGGGTTTGGGGCCTGGTTCTTTGCAGGGTTGTTGCTTAGCTTTGGCTGAGTGCACACGGTGGAAAGTTTCCTGTTCCACTTCTGAGTTACGCTGGATCATCTGTGTGCAATAAATCTAACTTGGTTTCAGACCCCACGGTGCCAAGGAGCTTTCGTCCTCCCTGGCATGGCATCACCCAGCCAAGAACATTACCTGTCCCCGTATTCTGGGGCTACAGCTCCCCCATCCCTAGTGCAGAGGGCTTCCTTCCCTTACGTGCAGCCATGGCTGGGTTTAGACCGCGGGTGACCCTCGAAAGGAGCAGCAGACGCCATCCAGTGACGCTGGACTGACAGACTTACGCTCTGTAGCGCGGTACCCAGGGCTAATCCCTCTCCTCCCGCCTGCCAGATCCAGCCCAGTGTGAAGTGGCTGAAAGCTGGTACCCTCTGATTGCTTTTCAGTAGTGCTGTGAAGTGGGTTGGCTGGGCTCCGTGCAGCGCACAAGTGCTCACGTGACTGCCACTCTCAGGGCTGCCTGCACCTTGGTTGGCAGCCTCAGCAGAGCGGCTGCGGGAGGCAGGGTGAGGCTGGACTGAGCTACCCCTCAGCCCAGGAGCTGATTCCTCCAGGTGAGGTGAAGTGCTTTGGGAGGAGAAATCATCCCGCTGCTTCCCGTGCTACAGGGAGCTCTGCTGGCCAGGGCTGTGGATTTGCCTCTTTCACATTAGCTGGCAGCTCCTGTATGCTGCTGTGAGCAAGGGCTCTTGGCTGGTGTGTTCACGGATGCCCCTTAGACCCTGAGGAGATCACCCTGGCCCACAGTAACATGCTGCATGCCCTAGTGCAGCCCCTCTTCGGAGCCGCCTGCTGAGGTTCTGGCTGTTTGTTCCCACATCTCCTGCTACCCATCCCGTCCATGGCCCCATGATGTCAGCAGACTGGGGTTGATGTGGCCCACAGACCCCTATCTGCCCCCACCACCCTGCACCTCTCATGCACTGGAGCCCTGCACTTCCTACTCCCCCTCCCCCCCAGCACTCTGAGACCCATAAATCTGCTGATCTGCACTCCATCCTCGCTCCTCCCCCTCCCTCGCAGAGCGGCAGCGCCATGAATCAGCTGTTTGCTGCTGTTCAAGTTCTGGGAGGGGAGAGGGATGGGGTGCAAATCAGTGGATTCATGGTGCTCCGGAAGCACTGGGAGGGTGGGGGAGGAGATCCAGTGTGCAGTGCCCCAGTGCACAAGAGGCACATGGGGGGGGGGCGCACACACCCCTCCCAGCTGCAAGTGGAACCCCAGCGAGCCGTGGGCTGCTGTGACCCACAGAGAGAGCCACACATGTGGCCTGCTCACTAGCCTTGGTTGCTCATCGTCACTCCAGGGCTCTCCCTCTGTTTCATTCCCTTCTCTTTGTAGTTTAAACCCAAGCGGGTAGGAGCTGGGTTCCGCAAGAGTTCCAGCTTGTTCCAGACTGCTGCCGAGCTGCTGAAGACAACGCAGGAGAATGATGCTAAGCCTGTGGAGCGGGAAGGGAATAGTCCAAGCAGGCAAGGTGGCAGCAAATGTGGTTCAGAAATGGCCAGATTCTCTACCCTCAAGAGCGAGGAAAAGGCAGCTGAAGTCGTACACGAAAGTGCCCTTGACGAGACGGGAGAGCAGCCCAGTTCTAAGGCAGATGTCCTGTGGGAGAGCCCTAACAAGAAGGCAAAACTCACCAGGAAGCAACAGCTGCTAGCAGAAGCAGCCAGAAAAGAATCCCAGGACATTTCCAAATTCTTCTCTGTCCCCAAAGCTGGGCTTCCAGCCTCAGACCGCGTCTCGGCAGAGGAAGATGATTGTCCTGTGAGCGAGCTACCTCGGTCTCCTTCTCACAGAGAACGTCAGCAGAAAGAGGCGCCTCGGGCAAATGCCGATGTCCCAGGAGGAGACGCGTCTGGGCAACCCCAGGTGGAGCATCATGAGGCAAGGAAGTCGGAGGAAGCACTGACTGAGAGAAGTCAAGACTTGGAGTCAGAGCACGACCCTGGCTCTGAGGCCACACAGGCGGGACTAGATGGTCTGGTAAAATGAAGGAGGCAGCCCTGGGAGTGCGGCGCCTGAGAGCTGCCGTGATAGAATGTAATCCAGGGTCTACCTCTGAGCTAGCCTGGGCAAGGCGTCTCGTCTTGCTTTACCGCAGTCTGCCACTCGCAAAATACCAGCCTGGTGACGTCTTCCTCTCGTAGCAAGTTCCTGTCATTGAAGAATCAACCCAGAAATGATCTTGTCTTTTCCCGCAGCCCTGGGAGTGCGGCGCCTGAGAGCTGCCGTGATAGAATGTAATCCAGGGTCTACCTCTGAGCTAGCCTGGGCAAGGCGTCTCGTCTTGCTTTACCGCAGTCTGCCACTCGCAAAATACCAGCCTGGTGACGTCTTCCTCTCGTAGCAAGTTCCTGTCATTGAAGAATCAACCCAGAAATGATCTTGTCTTTTCCCTCCCTCCTCAGCTGCAATGAACCTGGCTGGGAAATCGGAACAGCCTGCACTGGGGAGCATGAAGGTGGGAAGAGGCCAGGATCAGATGAGGTGAGACCTTCCTGAAGTTCATTTTCTTCCCCTCGGTCTGCTCAGCTTCGTGCCCAGCTTCTCTCTGGAGGTGACCTGCCTGGTCGACCTCACCTGGCAGGATCTGTTATCCGGGTGTAGTGCAGTCCCGCACCCAGCAGAGAGCAGCAGTATGGTCTAAGTGGGAGTCTGTGCTCCTGGGACCTATGCGTGGCTCTCCCACTGACTGGGGAGATAAGAGTTGAACCAGTTACTTGATAAGCTGATGCTTATCAGCTCCTGTTCGAGGTTAACCTCTGCTAGGGAGTGAGGCGGGCAGAGCCTGCAGGGCTGGGAGCAGGCTGGTGGAACCGGAAGCCCTCCAGCACCCTTCCCTCCCTGCCCCTACGTCCCCAGGTAGAACGTTTAACCATGTAACCAGCAGAGTTTTGATCGGTTACACGGTCACTACTTTTGTGCACTCTTTACACCTGTTGCGATGCACGGTGTGACTTGGCAGGGCGCTTCTGCCATGGTCCGTGGAGGTGCCGAGCACCCACAGCTCTGGCTGAAGTCTCTGGAAGCTACAGGTGCTCGGCACGTCTGGCAGTCAGGCTCTCCACCAATATCATTTCCCCCCTGAGAGATGTAGACATTGGTACCTACCTGGTAATCCCCATCCCTGATGCAGGTGGGCTCCTGAGTATCTCCCTGTATTGGTCGAGAGGGCAGCCCCCCAGGCTGACTGTACAGCGCAGTGAGTTTGGGGGGTCACGCAGCACGGGCGGAGCACCCTGCCTTGCAGCCCCTAGCCCAGGGTTTGACCCGGCTGTCTTGGCTGCAGCACCATCCCTTCAGTGGGACGTTAAGTGTTTAACTAAAAAGCAGAGCCAGTTGCCCTTGTGGATCTCTCCTAGGCCTTGTTTCCTGCAGCGTCTATCTAGGTTCACCCCGGGGGGGGGCATTCCCAAGGGACATGCAAGATTTCCCCATCCCGCCCTCCTGCAGGAGGGCCCTAGCACTCAGCTACTGCAATCTCTGGAGGGGCAAATCCCACAGGCTTTCTCCTAAGTCCCCTTTTCTGTGTGAGGGGGAATTGTGGGGCTGCCTAGATTAATGCCGTGAGTGCCTTCCCCATGGCTAGCCCAGCGCCTGTCTCCAGGGAAGTGAGTGTGCGAGCGGCTTTGCCACCTGGTATTCTGTATGGGAACAGCTTGCAGGGTAGATGGGGACGGTTCGGCCTCTGATGGCAGCTTGGGCTTAGGAGTGTGAAATGGCTGCTCCTCCTCGCTCCATTCTAGGATCTGGAGAGCCCTGTGAGGAAGAGGCTGCAGACGGCAGCAACGTCTTCCATCTTGTGGCAACCAGAGGGCAAAGGCCTGGGCCCAGTGAAGAAGAAGGTGACTTTTGATCCGAGTTTGTCTCAGGTTGATAAAGAAGGAACGACCAAGACCATCCAGCCAGCGCTCAAAGGCGTGTCCCTCAAAGAGACCGCAGATATCGTCGTCAAATACCTGACCCCTTTCTACAAGGGTGGTAAATTTGCTTCCAAGGTAGGGCATGGGCTGCAGCCTCTGTCAGGAGGAGCCCAGAACTGTCTCCTTAGGCCGTTTGGGACCGGAGGGAGGTGCGCGATCCTGGGGGCTGTTCATGTTTAACCATAGAGAGCAATGTTCCCTCTTTTTTTCCCACCGCTGAGCAGAATGAATTTTGTTCTGTGCACCATTGTGGAGGTGGCATGCATCATGGAGGGGCTGTGCGACACGTCACCTTTTGGTGCACCGAACAAAATTCATATGGCGGAGGTAGGGAGGAGGGGGCAGAGGGTTGGGGTGCAGGAGTGTGAGGGCTGGGGATGAGGGGCTCAGGGCTAGGACAGACTTGGGGTGTAAGGGCTCTGGCTAGGGGTGTAGGCTCTCGAGTGGGGCTGGGACAGAGGATGGGCTCTTGGGGCCTGGCTGTGGCGGGGGGCTCCAGGGCTGGGTGGCTTGCAGGGGGAGGTCTAGGCTGCTTGGGCTGTGCCTGCAAGTGGGGGTCCAGGCAGCCTCAGCCACCCAGGCTGTTCTGGCCGCAGGGAGGGGAGTCTGGGAACAGGCCGTGGCAGGGGGGGCGGGTCTGGGAATGGGTTACCTGGGCTGTGGCAGAAGAGCTCCAGGGCCCTTGCTGCTCTGCCCGTGGCAGGGGACTGGGCCCAGCCATGGTTGCCTTCAGGCTGGGGAGATGCCTGGTTCAGACTGTCCCTCCCCGGCCACCAGACTGGAGGCTAGGCTGGGAGTAGGGGGGCCCTCCTCTGCTCCTTGTGCAGGGGCCTTGAGCACCTACATGGCATAGGTAGGCAGCCGCGCCGCTTACAGGGATCTGTGATAGAGACTCACCGCTGCTTGGTGGAAGGGTGTGTCTGTCTTGGCTATAGCCCCTGCTCTAGTGAGAGCTGTTCCGGGAGGCCTGCTGTGTGCTGACTGCCGTGGTGCTGCAGGGATCCCCTATGTATGCCCCTCAGACTTTCATGTTAAAAATTGAGTGATCTGTGAACCGTGCAAATCCAGCCCTGATCAGCTCAAGGCAGGGACTGTCTCTCCCGATACAGGACATCTCGCCTGTCAACTTGAAGCACATCTCTGTTTCTCTTACAGCCCGAAGGTGCTCGGCGCTGTGCAAGGGCATGCGACCCTGTGCAGATGGTGTGGTGAGATGCGACTGCAGCAATAGGTAACCTTGCCTCTGCGCTCTGCTTTCTCTACCCTGCAGGAGCTGTTCAAGGGATTTGCCCGACACCTCTCGCACTTACTGACAGAGGAGAAGAATCCCGTCCGCAAGGCTGGTAAGTTGCCACGTGGGGATGTGGCTGGGGGCGGGGGCAATACTGGGGCTAGATGAGTCAAGGACTTGGGGGGGGGGCGCCCACTCTGACAGCATCTCCTCAGCGGCTCTCCCTTCTTGCTGCAGTGAAAGAAGAAGCCCAGAGACTCATCAAGGAGTTTTTCAAAACCCGAGTCCGGTGTGAAAACGAGACAGACTGGCAAGAGCTGCCCAGCTTGGAAAGATGATCCCAGCTCGCCCGGCTCTCTCTGACGGGGGGGAGTTTCCTATTCATGTGGCTGCTTGTTCTCCATGGCATCGAGAACATCTCCAGGGCGGCGACCCTCTGGGCATCTGTCTGGGGAGCGCCTCTGTTGCCTAATGGACGACACAGTCCTTCAACAGCTCTTGCAAAGGGGCCTGGGGTCTGCCAATGCTGCTCAGCCATCCTGCTCTGCATCCCGTTGCTGGCTGTGAAGGGCTGAGAATGTCAGGCTCCGATTCCACGTGGGGTGCAAATCCTGCTGCTCCCCGCAGCTGTGTCTGATCCTCCCCCCCACCCCGATGCTTTTATTGAAATGTTACCAGTTGAAGCCTTACATTGAAAACACATTCAAATGCCCACGCTTTGCTCAGGGTTCCTTTGATGGGAGCTGGTGGTTAAGTTCCTAGAGGGGATGTTTGTTTTGGAAAAAACGTTTTGTTTTAGACGATGGGCTATGGCAGCATCTGCTTTCCCACAGCCTGGGACCCCTTGCAGGCTTGTGGGTTGTTGGTTTTTTTTTTTTTAAACACCCTGAATTTTGGTTTTTACTCTGGCCACCTCCGGGTGCTCTTTCACTGGCGTGGGCACTAGTGCCTTAGCCTGGGCAGACTGGCAGATCTCTTGCCACTGCCCCCCAGGCTGTTACAAGGGAGCAACACCAAAGTTCACGTACTTCCCTAGCGTTTGCTTCTAGCCCCTGAAGCCATATCTGCTCGCTGTGCCTAACCCAGGGACTTAGGGCAGAGGGTGATGCTGCTGGTCCAGCCAATGACCTGCCCGCTGCTGTGACACTTGGCCCCAGTAGCTCTGGTGCATCTGCTGCTGTGTTATGCAAGGGCCTGAAGTGGGGAAGTCGGTGAGTTGTAACATGACCCTAGTGTCCAGGACTGTCTGTTACATGTAGTAGTTGGGGGCTCTGCCTGGCGCTGATATTGGCCTTGCTTGCAATAGTGCTGCTACAGCGACCCGCAGGGGAAACTGGGCTTGTGTTACTGCAGGGTGCATAGTAAATGGACAATAAACCGAATGGGACAGTTGCAATGGGCTCTTTGTATTACATGTGCTGTGCTGTGCTCTGCTGGTCCCAGTTACCTTACTGGGCATGAGCAGGACCTTACACAGCGAACGCCTGGGGAAAAGTGGAGTCACTTGCTCCCTTGCCCGAGCAACTGCTGAGCTGAATGGTAGGAGCTGGTGGAGAGGAATGGACAAGCGGGTTTGGAAACCACAATTCTCTTAGCTGGAATCTCTGGGCTCCCTTTCCAGCGCACTGGCTCTGGGGGGTGGGGAAAGCAGACCTGGTGGTTATGCCTGTTCTCAGACATTTCTCTTTCACCTGTGCCCTTGCCGCTTGTGCTGCAGCAGCATGTGCGACTTTGCTAAGCAGGGGCTTTAACAGCCTGGTGCTCCAGACCTGCACGGTCACATGCCCAGCAAGACAAGTACTTGACATGCTGTAGCCATTCTGCACGAGGACCTTTCAGAAGTGGCCATAAAATCATCTGGCCTCTGCTTTGGCTTGCCACTAAAAATCCCCTGGAACTCCTGGCTTAGCTGAGCGCTTCGCTTGTCCACCTCCCTCCAGTGCCCCTACCTTGTAAGTGGGGGGATCCTGGCGCTTTACTTTTGTTAGCGGTTCTGATTCACCCATGAGGGCTGCCAGGGGAGGGGAATCTGCCTCCTTCCCTGCTGTGCCTAGTGGCTCCTGCCAGGGAATGCCTAGGGTGCCCCATTTGGGGGAGGGGATGGAGAGGGTTAAAACAGAGAACTGGCAGCGGGTGTTACTCCCAAAGGCTTCTCTTTCCTCTGCTGTCACTTGTGCTTTCTCTCTGGATGGGGCCAGTTTCAGTTAGAGCTGGTGGCAGCCTCTCTCCCCTCCTCCCCCGCCTGAGGGGGTGGTAGATAATATACCTGCAACAAATCTAAAGCAGTGGGGCCATTTCAAAGGAAGGTTGAATTGCCCTGGGGCTGGGCTGGGCTCTGCTAAGAGTTAACGCTTTATACTGGGCTCTGCTTAGCAGCTCGTGCTGCACTTTGCTTTGCTGCTGGAGTGGCCCAGCCTGTAGCACTCCTGGCTGCTAGTGCTCAGGCTCCTAGGGACGGGGTGTGTACCGTGCCCCTGCCAGAGCACCGGCCCGAGGAGGCTTTTGCTAACCTGTCCCCCCCTCCAACCGTCACGCCCTCCCTCCGTTACCTGTCGTGACAGGCAGCTAAAAGGCAGCGTTCATGGCTCAAACTGGGAAACGTCAGCAAGGAAAGCCCGTTAGCCTGGGCCCCAAGTCGTTTGTGTTAGCCCAGTGTCCCTGTTTTAACTACCAGGAACCGCTGCCTTTGCTGGTCACATCACATTAGCCACCTACTAGGAACTGATTGCGGATTCACTCGCTGAGCATCAGGCCTGGCTTTCCACAGGCAGCCACTAGGCACTGTTCATTCCCAACCTGCTCCAGCCCCTGCCTTTCCCATCTGTTTAGCTCCCCCCTCCCCCCCAGTGCCCTGTAACACTACTACCTACTGCACATGGCAGCCCAGGGTTTTATTTTCATAGCTCCAAAAGCAACTGAGATTTTAGTAATTTATTGCTTATTAAATATTTTGGGGTTTTTTTCCTCCCCCCACCCAGAAGCTTAACACTTCTTGCCTAGCTGGAGATCTGTAGTAATACAATAAATTAAGGATTTATATATGTCTGCTTTTTGCCTGTCTGCTGTGGAGGGCAATTTGTATCCTCCTCCTCTGAGCAAACAGTCCTTTAAACACCGTGCTGCACGGGCCGCTTGAGTTCTTTCTAATCTAAAGAACCCTACAAGCTGCCGCCTGTCAGTAAGAAATCGATGAGCAGGCACCATTCCCCGGTGTGCAGCTCACACTCTGCCGTGGCAGACACAGTAACTGCGTATTCTCACTCCCTGCCATGCTCTGTAATTAACCGATACCTCTGGCAGCTCTTGGACAGAGCAGAAGAGGCCAGGCTCCATATGTTGGGTCCTTCAAAGTATTTGAATGCTTCAATATCTTTGATATAGGTGAGAGGATTATTCTAAGAGGGGTGGTTGAGATTCTGTGGCCTGCACTGTGCAGGGGGTCAGACTAGATGATCATAATGGCCCCTTCTGACCTTAAAGTCTATGAATCTATGAAAGCAGCAGGAGTCACATCACAAGCCCTTTTTCTTGGTGATGCAAAATCCAAGTTGCAGTCTCCCCCTTGCTGCCACTTGGGAGATTTCAGAGCAAAAACAGGCTGCAGTGCTGTGGTTTCCAGGGGCTTCCCTGGCCCGTTTGCTTGTAGCAGGTTGTGATGGTGCTGGTGAAAGTCCAGGGCCTTGTCCTGTTGGGTGCTGTGCTCTGGCTGGTGGGATCGTGCAGCTCCCAAGGATCGTGCAGTCCCAAGGACTCCCAAGGACTTCCCTTCCTCACTTGCCAACCACGCCGCGGGTGGGATGGGATGGGCTGAGGCGCAGCACTGCGGTGCAGGTCCAGGTTCCAGCAGGCACTGGTGCAGGCAGTAAGGTGACCAAGCAGCTTGGAGGACAGGCTGCCCAGGCATGGCAGCCTTGGAGAGGGCAGTGTGCTGTAGAACAAGGCGGCTGGAGAGCAGACTGGTGCATGGGGCTGGCCCTGCTGCAGGCCAGCGAGAGGAGTGCTTGATTGATCAGCTTTCTGAGCTAAGGTTCTGCTTGGCAGTCTTCCAGCCTGGGGCTCTAGGGATGGGATTCTCCCTCCACGAGGACAGTGATCATATGGTACATTTCTTTGGCCTGTCAAGATTACAGCCCAATAGAAGTGAGTCCCTGAACACCACCATCCCGCCCTGTCCCCTTCCCTTCCTCACTTCCAAAAAGGTGGAAAATTCAGGCAGCAAGTGCTACGTTCAGCCACCTCCCTCCACGAAACCGGCAGGGCTGGCCTTAAACCCCCCGGGCCTTCTCTTGGCAAAGCAGCTGCTGCTTTATTGGTGCTCCCTCCCCCCCCTCCCATTTTAACCTTTTCCAGAGGCCTTGCAGGGAAGTGGCCTTGCAGGGCTCTGGAAAGAACGTTCCTTTAAGACCACTGTCCAGCACTTAGAAGGAACGTGACCCAGGTGCAGTGGAAATGCTGAGCCCCTGGTCACTAGGTATAAATCCCACGGGATTTGTTAATTCCATGGGGCTGGGTGGAGAAGTGCCGCAGCAGAGGGACACTCACTGCATCTGTACAGGGCGTGTCACTCTAGCCTCTGAAATGAAGCTTCCAAAATGAAGCTTCACCCTTGTCTGAGGGGGAGCGAGGGGCCCCCAGTGCCTCTGCACTATCTTCCCTACCAACCACGCCACTGGGCTCAAGCAGGAGCAGTGGATTCTGGGAACTGTAGTCAGTAGAGCCCCATCTCCTGGCTAGGGGATGGCACTAGTGCTAGCAGCCTAGATCTCCACTGGCCAAAGCGTGGGCTGGGGAAACCAATTGAGCCGGCCGGTAGCAGGCCATGCACAGGGCTCTTTACCTGGAGTAGTTCAAACCACATGGTCTTAGGATTGGCCGCGGAGCCATAGTTCACTTCCAGCCCCGGTGCCCCGGAGTCCTCCAGAGGCCGCAGCGTTCGCATCTTCTGCACCTCCTTCAGCGGGATGCGGCAGCACAGCTCCTGTGCACAGGGAGAGAACCTGCCATCAGAGGGGACACGGAAGCTCAAGAGCCGAGTACCCTCAATGCTCCATCCCTAGAGGGGGCTTCCCCACTGTCATTTGACTACAGAGCAGTAAGGAAACAGGACTCTGCCCTCAAGCCTCTTTGCAGCCAGTGCAGGCCCGTAGGACAGAGCGGGGGAAACCATGGAGCTGGGGTGATGGGTGGGTCCTGGTGCAGCCGAGCGGGGGCGTGGCAAGGAATGGATCCAACCCACTAGTTTTGTGGGCTGCTGTGGCCTCATCTCTTCCCAGAGCTGGAGGCAAAAGCACAACGCGACTGCACGAGCGGGACGAGGCAGCGAGTCCCTGAACCTGGCGCTCTGGGCAGCCTACCTGGGAGCCGCTGGTCACGACCACGATCTCATCCCTGTTGACCCCCAGGAAGCTGGGTAGTGGGATCCTGGGCTCACTGCACCGCTCCAAGGGGTACACGTTGTAGCCAAAGAGTGGCAGCTGGATCACACGCTCTGGGGGAAGGGTGACGAGAGGCTGCACTAAGGCGCGTGTCCAAAAGCCGCAACATGCTCCGGGAGACAGCGCTAAACACCCCCCCACCCCCACCCCCGACTTGCAAATCAAACTGTGATCATGAGAACAATCCCCCCCCAAAACTGCAGCCACAATCCCCCCCCAAACTGCAGCCACAGAGCTTTTCCTGGGGCTTGGGTTTTGTGTAGCTTTATGTTCAGGGCTTCCCTTCTGCCCTGCCCTGAACATAAAACTGCACAAAAAACAAGCCACAGGAAAAGCTCTTAGGGATTTTTCCTGGTGCCCTGGAGGGTCTGGGCCCTGGCAGGCCTCCAAAGAGAGCCTGGGTCCCAGTTCCCTGGTCCTGGGCTAATCAAGGCTTTAGAGCCATTGCTTGGCGGCAGACAGCCAGTGAGAGGTGGCATCCACTGAGCCCAGGCAGCAAGCAGTTCTCAGGGCTCTTCCCTTGCCTCCCCCAGGCCCCTGACCCCAGCTGCCTCACCTATGAACTCCATTTTTGCATCCTGCTGTCCGAGTGGCTCCGTGGTTTCCAGCAGTTGCTTGACTTGGCTTTGGAGAGCCTGGAGGTCGATGCGCTGAAGCGCAGGCTTGGGGACATAGTCCATCAGCTCCTGACTAATTGGACAAGCAGAGAAGGTAAGGACAGGGCTGCAGGAACACTTACTGCACGGGTCATGCACTGCCCTGGGGGCTGCTGGGCTCAGCGCGCACAAGGGACCAGGCGGTGCATGTCTGCAGCCCCCATGTGCACGTCGGTGTGCGGCCGGCTGCAGGGCTGTAGGCTGGCTCAGTCACGGTTCACCTAGACGTGCCCTAACTCACTTCCAAGCAGAGTTAGCAGCCACAGGACTAGCTGAGGGCACCAGGAGGACATGAGACCCATTTGCAGGGGTAGGGCTGGAGAATTCAGCAGGAACGAACCGTACACACCAGTGACAGGCAAGCCGCTGCCCCGTGACAGAGTTCTCTTCCCAAGGCAGCTCATACTGTTTAATGAAGATTGCAGCGCTGCATGGGGTTGCTTTCTTCTCCAGCTCTCCAGTAGGGACTCGGGGGCCACCAGTCCCCTGGCTCACTACACCTCCCCCCCATTTGGCCTTACTGCAGCTCCCCCTTCACACAGACATTCTGGGCCACCTAGCACTCCACAGCCAGGCTGGGTCAAATGCACCAGCATTGGCTTGGGGCATCTCCCAGGTGCATTCGACAGGCTCTCCCAGGACACTGCCGTGGAGCCTGAATGGAAGGAAGCTGGCTCCAGGCCTTTTATCCCCACAGTAACCTGAGCAGCCTTCCGCCATAGTTCTTACATGCCTGGATACGGATTTGGGGGCTCCAGTGCAAGCGAGAACGTTCCAAAAAACGGAAAGGCAACAAGTCTAACCCCGATGTGAGGAACCCTTTGTACTCAGTGCACGTAACCGTGCGAGACTTTCTGCCACGAGGTACCTGTGCAAGGAGTTCGGTGGATTTTTTTTTTTACAAGGAGTTACACGGCTAATGAGAATATTCACAGGTCGGTTAAGAGCATAAGAGGGGTGTAAACTCTCATGCTTCCCGGTGTGAGCCAGCCACTAAGTGCCTGGGGTCAGGAAGGAACTTCCCTTACTGGCCACTTAGTGCAGAATTATCCCCTGCAGGGTTTCTTGCATCTTGCTTTGAAGCATCCAGTGGTGGTCACCCCCGAGACAGGACTCGGGGTAGCCCAGAGCACCTCTCGGGTCCAGGCTGGCCACCCCGGGCTCCTTTGGACTCTACAGCAGCAGACTTACGTGGATGGCAGGGAGCCCAGGGCTCCGGCCCAGTGCTGGACAAGGGCCATGCTGCCCACCTGCTTCTCTAGGTCACTGTTGTAGTTCAGCAACAGCTTCCCTCTCAGGTAATCCTGCAGCACCTGGGAGCAAGCAGAGCAAAGGGGCTTTGGCAAAGCCTGCCAGCTACTAAGCACGGGCACAGGTGGCCTCCTGTGGCGGGGGCCTGGAATTCGCACTGCAAGGAGCTCGTACTGAGCGCGCTAGTGCAGGCGCCCAGCTCCCAGCCTGTTCCAGCAGGTGCAACGGGCCTGGTACAGCAGGAACCCAGGGCAAAGAGCTCTGCTTGGCCCCACGGCCCAGGCCACGCGGTCCAGCCAGGGCAAGGCCTCGCTTCCTTCCCCCAGGTATTCAGCCAAAAGGCACCAGCAGCTCTCTAGGGGGTGTGTTCTGGGTACAGTCAACCTCTGGGCTCCCGGCCTCACACCCAGCTGCCTGCACTGCACCCTTTAGCTCTGCCCTGCTTCCCAGATGCCAGGGAGCTGCACGTGGGGATAGGGGCTCTGGAGCTGCTTGAGGGAGGAGGATGCAGCAGGAGGGGTCAGCTCACTGGATTAGCCACCACCAGGGATGCGCACGAGTAGTCGGCTAGTCGATCAAGCCTAGGTTTACTGGTTAATCTAGTCAATTACTCGCATTTTCTCCCCCAGTTAGCAGAGGCAGCAAGGGAGGGAACAGGCTTAAAAGCCATTTCCCCCAGCACTGGGTGAGTGCTGGCACCTGCCCCTCCACGCTGCTGCCTCTAGCAGAGGCAGCTGTGCAAAGGGAAGGCTGCCACAAAGCAGCTTCTGCCCACGGCGAGCCTAGGCCCTGTCTGCTGGGAGGGAGGGGACAGGGGAGGCTGCAGGGGGCTGGGACCAGGGTTCCCTCTAAGCTACTCGTGTGCAGAAAAAATGTCAACCCGGCGCACCTCCTACGCAGAGCTGCACGGCCGCATGGTGGGTGGCAGGAGGCTGCGGAGGCCAGGGCCGGAGGAGCCACGAGCTGCATAGCGGGAGGCTGCAGCAGCGGCCAGGCCGGAGGAGCTGTGAGCTGCATGGGAGCCTGGGCAGGAAAGCGGCGAAGCAGGTACCGGAGTTGTACCGGACGGGCCAAGGACAGCGGGGACCTGGCACAGAAGCTGGCGGGGTGGAGGGCAAAGGCACCAGTCGTCTGTGGTGGTGGGAGGTACTGGGCATAGGGCAATGCTGGGAGGGAGGGCAAAGTGCGGGGTTGGACACAGGTCTCTGGGCAATGTGTGGACGTCTGTGGTGGTGGGAGGTACAGGGCATAGGGCAATGCTGGGAGGGAGGGCAAAGTGCGGGGCTGGGCATAGGTCTCTGGGCAGTGCTTAGGCTGTGGCCCTAGGCCCAGGTCCTGGCTGTTCGTGTTTGGGGGGCAGATAGCATGGCCCTGGTTTACATACTGGTGGCATATGGGGGCGCAGATTGCAAGGCTGGGCACAACTGCAGGGTGGGGGGGGCTAGGCAGTTAGCAAGGCTCATTCAGGCACCAGCTGGCTCTGTGTGGTCCCGATGGGGGCACAGTGGCTACGTCTACACTGGCATGATTTTCCGGAAATGCTTTTAATGGAAAAGTTTTCCGTTAAAAGCATTTTCGGAAAAGAGCGTCTAGA